AGTGTATTATGTAAACTGGATAATCCTGGGTACATCTGCAATCGGTGTACACTATCCAGACGTAGCGAGGCGCGATGAGGATCAGAATCCTAACACCCCCCCGCAAGCTCGACTCCCTTGGAGAGCTCGAGCATGACCATGGAGCGCGATGCGTCGTAGACATGGACTTGGGCGAGAGCGCGCTCGAGCGATTCGGCAGGTAGCGCCTTGGTGAAGCAATCTGCGGGCATGTCGCCTGACTTGCAGTACCGGGCCTTGATGCGGCCGGCTTGGACGGCTTCGCGGACGTAGTGATAACGGATGTCGATGTGCTTGGAGCGACTTGTCGTCGACGGGTTGTCCATCGTCTTGAGCGCGCTCTGGTTGTCACACCAGAGGTTGACACACGCTGTCTCGGGTACGAGCTTGGCTTGCTCGAGCAAAGTCTTCAACCACGCGGCTTCTTGCGTCGCGATGCTGGCAGCAACGTATTCGGCTTCCATCGTCGAGAGGGCCACCGTCGCTTGCTGCTTCGAGTACCAGTGGACGGGCGCGCCGTTGATCTGGATGAGACAGCCGGACGTGGAGCGTCGGTTGGTCTTGTCGCCGGCCCAGTCGGCATCGGAGAAGATGTCGAGCGAGAGCGGACCGGCCGACTGGTGCGGCGCGAGGTGTAGACCGTACGTGCGCGTCGCCTTGAGGTAGCGCAGGATGCGGCGCAGCTGGCTGCCGTGGTTCACCGTCTTGTGGTGTTCGATGCCCTTGTCGGCGAGGTAGGACTTGAACGCCTTGGAGGTGGATGCCCCCCCCTTGTCCGACCGAAGCATGGGTGCCGGCCGTGGGAGCGTGATGCTAGGCATGAGCTCGAGGGCCGTGCAGTTGAGCGGCCAGAGTGAGCCGATCTTCTTGCATGTGGTCAGCGGCTGGTGACCTGTCATGATCAGCAGCGTGCCACCGTGCGAAAGTTGAGAAACGCCTTCGTCGTCCAGCAGTGACGTGGAGATGAGGTGCATGGGCACGTCGGGTACGCAGTGGACGTCGTTGAGTACGAGTTCCGCACCCGTGTCGGCGAATTTAAGGCGCATCGATCCAGTAACGGTTGCGTGTACGTAGTCCTTGTTGGCGACTTGGACGCGCAGTGTCGACGGTGTCGGGTTGTGAATCATCGACGCGTCGTTGACGAGATGATGCGTGCAGCCAGAGTCCAAAAGAAAAGTACCGGAGGACAAACCGGCGCAAGCAGCAGCGCTCGAGAGACCGTTGACGGAGCCGGCAAACGCGAGTTCTTCAGCAATTTGGTCGTCGAGATCGGCCTCGGCTAGTTGGGCACGGGCAGTCGATTCTCGGCGGTCGCGGTTGCGAGCGCGGCGGCCGCGAGCAGTCGTCGGCTCGGTATCCGGCGCGACTTGACCGGCGCTGTTGTTGGCACGACCGTTTGGAGGGCGCAGTGCCAAGAAACGAGGGCAGTCACTGGGGAAATGGTACTCGTCGGGGCAGACGGGGCACTGATAAAGCGCGCGCGGCGGGCCTGGCGAGCCGGAACGGGCGTGACCGGGGCGTTGACCTTGACCTGGATCTTGATCTTGACCTTGTCCAGTGCGACCGCTGTGTTCGGCGCCACGACCGTTGGTAGTGTGGGAACCACGTCCGTCGCGACCGGCCGCCGGCGCAGATGCGACGTTGGCGCGAGCGCGCGGGGTGTAGGGCGAGTCGCGAGTAGGCTGGGTTGTGGCCGAGCGAGGACGACCGTACTGGTAGCCAGAGCCAGTGAGTTGGGACAACTTGGTAACCACGACGTCCAACATCTCGGCGTCTTCACGACGGTTGGGGTTGATAAGCGTCGTGAGAGTGAGCGTGAGCTCGGGACAGGCGTACTTGACGAACATGTCGAGGACGAGGCTGTTCGGTGCGTTGACTTCTCGCTGCAAGTGACGGAGGAAACGAACCAACTCGTCCCACGTCATGTTGTACTTCTTGGGCTGCCGCATGTACTCCATAGCTTGGTCGTGCGTGAGCTTCGACGCATAGCGTTCGGTGAGCCGGGTAACGAGGTCGTGGAGGCCGAAGTCAGGCTTGGCAGCCTTCCACTGCTCCACGTGGCTGTTGTAGAAGGACTTGGGTGCAGTGCCGAGAGACCCCAGAAGTACGTGGCGTCGGTGCTCGTCCGTCCAGTGCGAGTTGTAGAAGGCCACGTCACGCTGAATAGCTTCTTCAAGCAGTTGGAGATGCTCGGGAAAGTTTGCGCTGCAACCCGGGTACGCGGGCTCGCCCGTGAACTTGTCGACCTTGAAAGTCCGCAGGTTCGGCGGGTTGGAGTACGTCGGGGCGTAAGGGCGCTGAGGCATGCCGCCGCCACCAGCACCACCTGGAGGGCCACCGCCACCAGGAGGGCCACCGCCACCGGGAGGACCACCGCCGCCGGGCGGGACACCGGGAGGACCACCGCCGCCAGGCATACCACCGCCAGGCGTACCACCGCCGCGAGGCGTGTGTGGAGGGCCGGGAGGTCCGCCGCCACCGGGAGCACCGCCGCCTGGAGGACCGCCGCCACCAGGAAAGCCGCCGCCGCCAGGAAGACCACCGCCGCCGGGAGGCGTAGGGTGATAGACGGGCGCGTCTGCGGGCTGAGCGTAGGTGTGGCCAAAGTCGCGTTCAAACGGACTGGTCGGAGGCGGCGCCGGAGCGGGCGCACAGTAGACGTGAGCGCCACGAAGTGCGGCGTGCGTCTTGGTGAGTTCCAGCGAGAGGTTGGTGAATTCTTGTTCGAGGTTTGCAACCACGTCGGAGTGCTCGGCGCGTGCTAACTCGAGGTCGGCCACTGCGGTGTGAGCGGCTTGGACGGCCGCATCACGCGCGAGGTGTGCCGCGACGACGTCGCATCGAGCTGCGTCACGCTCAGCAACCACTTGAGCGTAGGCGTTTTGGCTCGCGGCAAGTTGGTTCTGGAGTTGGCGAGTCGCAGAAGCATGCGCGGTGTCACGGTCTTGATCGGACGAGGACGCCATGGCGACTGCCGCGTCACGAGCTGCGTTGGCCTCTTTCAAGGTACGTCGAGTGTCGGCGAGTGTCTGCGCGAGCTCGTCGCGTGCCGTCTTGGAGTTGTTTGCGTAGCCCAACGCAACGTCGCGTTGTTGCTCAGACGCATGCAAGGCATGACGCGCGGCGTTAAGCTCGGCGTTGGTGTGTTGGCGTGACGTCTCGGACGAGGTCAGTCGAGCATCGAGGTCATTGAGCTTGTCGTTGATGGCCATCACAGTGCGAGTTGAAGAGTCGAGTTCTTGACGCAGGTTGTCACGTTCGAGCAATACGACGTGCAGTTGGCGGACGTGCTCGCGGTGCGCTTCATTGAGCTGTGTCGTGGCTCGCGCGTGTTCGTCGAGGAGTCTTCGTGTACGCTCGGCGATTTCCTTCTCGATAATGTCTTGGATGGTAGCTGCGTCGTACATGGGCGCAGGCTGCGTGGAGCTCGGTACGGTTCCTTGATCGTCTTGAACGTCTTGAGCATCTTGATAATCTTGATCGCCTTGGGCATCTTGATCATCTTGGGCGTGAGTGTCGCGTGGGTCCGTCTCGCTTGGAGCGGTCGACGTCGCGGCGGATTGCTCGGGCCAGGTAGGCGACACGACGTCGTCGAACTCGTCCGGGATAATGGTCGGGGTCGGCACGCGGTCAAGCGGTACGTGGTCGGGCGTAAAGTCCTGCGACGTGGCGCGCTTGCGCGGACTCGTCGGGACGTGAGACATGTTCTTCGTCTGTTCTTCGTGGACAGCAAGCTTGTTCTTGATGTCGTGGGCACGGTTGGCGGCAAAAGCCAACTTGAAGTCCTTCTTGCGGTCTTCTTTGGGTACCTTGATCGTGTTGCTCGCGGTCGACTGTGGCTGCGGCCCGTGGAGATCGATCATCCTTGAGGGGGTCGTCGCAGTGTTCGTCAAAGACACGCTGGAGCTTGTGCTGGACGTTGTTGTCGAGCTCGCACTTTCGAAAGTGAGCCTCGCTGTGGAGCGATGGGCTTCTTGTGCGATGGGGCGCATTGATGGGTCATCCTTGATGTCACCAACATTGACCAGCACGTGCGTGTTGCGGCGTGTGTCCTCGTCGCAGCGCGTGTTGCAGCGTGTGTTGACGTCCCGGCGCGTGTTGCAGCGTGTATCGACGTCGCGGCGCGTGTCGGCGTCACAGCACGTGTCGTGTGCTTGTAACTGTTGGGTCAAGTTGACTGGAGAGCCGGTCGACAGTTGCACCATCTTGGCCGACATGTTAAGCGACGGCACCAATCTAGTCGTTGTGTCGGGCGCGGGCGACGGCTTGAGGGCATCGCGCGCGGTGGCTGATGTGGGGACGTGCTGCTCGGCAAATGAGGCTGGCGACGTCGTGCGCGTGTGAGGTTGCATGCTGCTGTTGTGCGCTGCACGAGGGAGCAATTCCTTCCTTGGGCTCATAACCTGTCGGAACTGCTAGAGTCCGATGCAGGCGCACGAGGCAGAGACTTGTGTCGTA